TGCAAACAACAACTTAGTTAATGATGAGCAATTAGAGACACATCACTAATTACCTTAAAGTTGATCTAAATGAAGTTGTCTCATTTGGAAAACAGGGCCCTGTTTCACAAAATTTTAACTAAAGATAAAATCCAAATTTTAGTAGATACTGCAATTTTGATTGGCTAAGCTCTAAAATTATCCAATCAAATTACTAAAATGTGAATTTTATCTTAGTTAAAATTTTGTGAAACAGGCCCCAGGTTCTTTTTCTTCTAGAACCAATTTTCTGACAATTTTCAAATGAATTCCCACTCACTTTGTTTATTATATCTAAAGCAACGAATAATCTGTGTATCACCAACTCTCAGATCAACACATACTGACATTTAACAATACTTCTAGGCCTATGGCCATGTAAAACAAATTGGTACTTGTCATGCCATTAAGGTGACCAATTTGTTTTTGGAAAAGTTCAGTATAATGAAAACAGTCAAGACATTTGTAAAATTTGACATTCAAAACTGTTCATTTTTTAAACACCATGTTTTGGGGGTCTACATAGCCATGAACACATCATTTGACAACTTATTGTTAAGCTTAGATGACCAATATCCATGCATGACATTGCACAATAAAGTACAGGGCACATCTCCAATTTTTGTCCCATGAAACATTTTGTTGTGTTACTACAAGCTTTTGTGATAACCTCTGTGTTCCGCGTCAGTTATAGTTCAGATACAGGGTTGCTCAAAGTTACAACGTTTAATATCCATATATTATGTTCCGAACTCAAGAGAATGCTCATGTCCAAAGTGACACACAGTCAAGTAGAACTGAAGGTTAAGAGAGTAGAAAAGTGAAAGGTTTACACTCTGTGTTTTATTGTGTTTAGTTTGTCTGTTTTTTGTTATTGTCAATAATTTTGCTAGGAAACAGGTAATTGTGTCTTAGAATGTATGGTATGCCATTTGTGTCACAAATCTCAACATTAAACACTCAAGAACAAACCACAAATAATCTCATTGTCACATAACAATTCCACAATGTTGATATACAGCATTGACATGTATGGTACTTAGTCATAATTAGTATAACAATGAATTATAATTCTGAAAACAATTGTTGTACATAGCCATGCTTTTTATGTTTTTAGAACAAACAACTATATACTTCATATTTTCTAGACCTGTGGTTCCCAATCATTTTCCACTTGCAGAACTCTTAGGATATCTTAGAAATCTCCAAGGACAAGTGTTGTATCAAAATAAATAAATAAACCATATGATCTAGAGTGCATGTATTGGACCATTACAGTCAACCCCACTTTACCTCCAATTCTACAGATATTTTTATGAAATAAAACTTGTATATTATATATGTAGATTGTATTGAAGACACATTGAAGGGTAATGAATAAATGTGTGAAAACATCATTAGACAGATATGTGTCCCAAACTTTGGCATATGCTTGAGCAACCTTTAAACATACATATTTTTACTAATGGGAATTAAACTTATATTATTTACATATTAAAAGTGCGGAAAGAAACATACACTGTGTTAATTCTTATCTAGAAATTCAAAAAGCCAGGTTCAAATTTCTAAGTTTATATATCTTTTTAGGTTATTTTTTGAAAGGTCATTGTTTACTTCTACATGTTCTCTCATGCATTTCATATTAAAGAACCCAATACTATGTAGAAAATTCTGCATTATTACACTCCACACACATATGGCCTACAGTAGATTATGTTATTTTTTTTTAATATTATACATGTGCCTGTATCACGCTTGAATAAATATATTATATTAAACACTGAAGTACAACAATATACTTACCCATGATCTCCATTTAATCCTTATACATGTTCAAAACATCCACCCAGAAAACTAATAATTTGAAAAAGTAGATTTTTTTTAGTTGTAATTAAATATCTTGATATGACAGCGTTTTTCAGTCCTAAAATCTTGAGTAGTGATATATCCTTATCTAGAGAATAATCCTCAACTAAACTTGGTAAAATTTATGATAGTTAATGCAACCTAGGCAAGAGTCTGCTCACCATTACAATAACAAGTTAGAATGCTAGTTTTGATCCTGTACATGCCACCAGTTCAACTGTTACAATACATGTCAAGTGTCAGCTAGCCCCTTCAGATATGCTGACCCATGTGTCAAGCTGAGCAGGGAATAAAGATCCTTTACACACTTCATATGACCCTTTAAATTGCTGCAGGGGTTCAATACCTTACACAAACTGAGAACTGGGTGATGGCTTGGCTTGATCTATGCCTAGATAATTACTCTAACAATATTATCACAGTTTATAAGAATGGATTTTAACCTAATTAGAAGAGAGGCTTAGGGCTATTGTGGTATCTCTTAATTAAATATTATCTTAAGAGTATGTAAATGAAAATGGAGAGATTGGGAGAAGATTAAGTTACTATAGTTTTGGCTTCTTGCAGCCACCAAAAGATCAGTTGTGAACAGATGAGGTCAAATCCTGTATTCAGACAAATCTCAATTTGAAAGTCAACAGATCTCTTTATAAGCTCATCAGTCTATCACTCACAATGAGAAACTGAACACATTCATAAATTACAAACATTTTCTAATGAATAAATTACAAAAGTATATACTATTTTAGGCTTGTTTTAAATGATCTTTGATTATTGATAAAATATTTTCACACCAGTTCCTTATTCTTAATAACTGTCTCATCAAGATCAACATCCATTGTTTCTGAAACAACATATTTTCATTGAACATCAGACGAAAATTAACAGTGTAAGAGGTTTCTTCAGATTTCTTCAAAGCAGATGAAATGACTGATATAACACCAATAAAATATAAATCTCATCTCATCAAATAAAGAGTTCATTTAAGTGAACACTTATGGAAAATTATATACCAATATTGTACCACTTTAAGTGAAATGGTCATTACCTAGTGTTAGAGATCAAAGGGGCCGTGAGTAATAGTGTTACACCTGTAAGTGCTATTAATTAAGATAACAAACCTAATTAAATTACCTTGATCAAAGATTTTCCAGGCCAGGCTTTAATCCATTCAATAGAAAACACCTAATCTGATATACAAACAATATCCTAATCCACATGGATAAGACACAGATTACTGACAGCAGACGTACAATAGTAGACAGTAAGAATCAAAATGGAGGTGAACAGACTGAATTTGTACAAAAAAGTAGCCTTCAGAGAATTTACTTTAGTAGTTGGCTACCAATGTACCTGTGAAAGATGGTTGTTTGACAAATAACAACATTAACAACATATATATTTACTAACTTCGTCAGGCTTCAGATACATGTACTTCTTATAGACAGGCGGACAAACATGTGGAAAAGTTTTTAGTCTCGGAACAAACTGAAATCCACTTGTCTTAACAGAAAAAAAAAGATTAATTTTGAATAGAAAAGTACAACAACCATTTGTTAGATATGTGAGCTCCTCAAATTGGTATCAGGTGTTCTAGAACTAGAAAGAGTAAGAATACCCTGCCTCATACAAACATGTGACTACTTGTAGCTACATGTACATGTATATTTAGGCTGGGAGTGAGAATTAGAGGGGCCTGACTTTTTGTTACTTTTTTCTGAACTTCGAAAAGTTTGGAGCTTTTTGATATTAGTTGTGACACAGATTATGTTACAGCACTTTTATAGGGTGGGGTGTCGGGGGGGGGGGGGGAAATTTAATGCACCGATAAAAAAAATTATTCTGTTGTGAAAGTAGAACAGTACAAGATGCCTGTGGGGGTGACAAATTCAGGAACACCACTGCTAAAGAACATTGTCATTTCTAAATTTTGCTCTGACATGTAATATACTGTAGATAAGTGGTATTGTTTTGGGTACATATAACATAATGTTGAAGATAGATATATGACACATACATGTACAATGTATTTAAAAAGACAGATAATTAATGTTTCAATCAATAAATAATATAAAGTTATCTTGTGAAGGATATAATATATGAAACTTTGCAAAAACTATATGTAGTTCAGAAAGTTTGGAAAACTTGCGAAAAAAAAAAATCCCTTTAGCAGCCAGTCCTAAAAAAAAACCTATAAAAATGGCTCAGGAAAGTCAGACATTTCAGCCTAGGTATATGCACTACTTCTAAATTACCGGTATTTGATACTTCACTTGTCACTGGTCTCATCTGTGATACAGTCATTGGCATGTTCTCGTACATTTAACACTTTTATATTTAAACTTCACATTTGGATCAAAATTTGGCAATTTGTACATCATTTTTTCTTTCTTTCTTTAAGACTACTACACGTTGACGTAAAGAGCTTTTAACCCACAAGTTGAATTATAATTCTCTTAAGGGTATTCTACTTTTTAGAACTTGTGTCTTAATTACTTGGTTGTTTTTTTGTTCAACCTGTGTATCACAGGGGGTCACAGTGGCTAAGTGAGTAAGACGCTGGCTCACTAGCCTGGAGGTCGGTGTTCGATCCCTGCATTAGCTGAGAAAGTTCATCCAGATTTTCCGGCGTGGTTCCCCCTTATCAGTGATGCTGGACGGAGAGCCTGACAAGGACAAATGTCTAGTCATTCAGATGGAACGAAAAACTGAAGTGCTGTGTAGACATTGGTGTGCACGTAAAAGATCCCTTGACAGTTGAAATTCGATATAAGAGTAGGCCGTAGTGCCGCTGTTCGGGCAAAATTTCCCTCATAGCACACTGTATGGCGTATGCCCGTCTTCATTAGCCCAGGTTAGGAGCAGAACAGTAGGACGTTAAACCCCATTTCATTTCATTTACTGTGTATCACTAAATCTTGTAGTATAAGACTCAATTAAATACAGAACTTGTTAAATTTTTGTCTAGTTTAAAAATCAAACTGACAAAAGGAAGATGTGCAGTGTAAATAACGTGACCTTTCTCATTCATAAGTTGAAGTATATTTTAAATTTCAAATAAGCTAACAAATGATTTGTAAACCAATGGGAAAAAAAGATGGCAGGCTTCTGGCCTTTTACATCCTGATGATGAATAAATGTTAAAGGAAGGTGTCATACAAATAAATATTCTACGAGCAGTCTTTTGTCAATATCGTAACGACGGTGAGTAGATAATCTACATTTACTCGTACATCAAAAAACAAATACACGCTGTACAGTTAAAATACTTCAATAAAAGCGACTAACTTTGCCACTAAGAGAAAATCTGAAATCTCTCTCTCTAGCCTCTGAAGTGGGTGTCTTAAGAATTTCTTCTTTTTTTTTCAAATGAAAAGCGAGTAAACACATGACAAACAAACTAAATAATGACAACAAATAAAGAAGCTATAACTTGAACATGTTGTGGACCAAACATGTAAATAATGATTGAACAGTTTATTAAGTGATATAAATGTTTCTTGTTAGCACCTATTATGATTTTATGAAAAGACAGGATATTTAGATATGTTATAATATAACTGAACAAACATCAATTAAATCAATCAATTCTTTTCATCAGGAAAGGGAAATAACTACTGAACTTGATTATATTCTATCTCTAATCTTAATACATATATATATATATATATATGTAATTTAACATGTACATGTATATTGATAATAATATATATTTATATTATTTATGCGTTTTGGGAAGCCGATTTATATTATGTCATTGGCTTGTTTCGGTATCCTGTGAATATTGTTTAAATAAAAAAAACAACTAATGAACAATGTAAAAAAAAAGATTGCCATTACCGATTGTTAGACATTAGAAAATTCCAACAAAATGGAGATTGAACAAATGACATATGAGTAAAACTAAATAAGATACATATACAGTGATTAACATGTATATTTCATGTTTTACAGCGTTTTAATAAAAAGGTGAAAACTTTATGTAAAACTAAGTTTTTCCTGAATGGTTCTGGAAGGTAATTAAATGAAATGAAATGGGGTTTAATGTCCTACTATTCTGCACGAACCACAATAATGAAGATGGCCACATGCCATGCAGTGTGCTGGGATCTACTCCTACATGTATTTAAAATTCCAATTGTCAGACATTCTTTTACATGTACACAGAACTCCATTTTTCATCCCATGCAAACGACTAGATGTTGTCCTTAATAGGCCCTCTGTCCTGCACCACTGACAAGACAAAAACATGAGAGAAATCCAGAGAAAATTTCCCAGGATCTTCTCGTTAGGGAGCCAGTACTTTACTCACTAGTAAATTATAAAGATGGGGAATGATGTCCAATGACTTTGAGCAAGTGCTGCACTGTATGTTACCAAATTGCTTATTTAATAGAATTGAGATCTTTGTTGGTACCCAAAGCAAAATATAATTATTTGTTGGTCGTAACAACAGTTATATATTGGGGAAGGGTATGTTCAAATTTGATCTGCTAATTCTTTGTTGATCAGACATAGTGTTTTGACTGTTAAACATACATTATGCAAGAGCTAAATCTGCCTATTGTAGGTCTTTCTTTAGGCCTGAAATGTTATCTAAATTATTAATTAGACATTAATTAACTTATCCAGATCATAATCAACTTTCGATGTCATCGCTAGCCTGCAATATTTTCTGGATTAGAATCCTATTTGCTGCTTAATGCTCATTGATAATTAAATCAAAAAATAGATAATCGAGACTATGTTTTTTATCGAACCGACTTTAGTAATGATGATTGAGGCTAGACTCAAAATTCAATCGCTAAAATCTCGGTTCAAGTGGATCAATTTGACTGAAATTTTCAGCAAATTGCCATTATCTAGTTTTTAACTATTATAGTGAGAAGTGCCAGCCATTTATCTAATCTCCCATAATGTATCTTTAAAAGAGTCAAGTCAATAATGGTTTTCAGATGGTTGTCAGAAGAAAATGCCTAGACATACATAATAGTAAACCAGTTAAATAAATTGTTTTTGTATTGTTTTATTTTAAATGTATTTGAACTTAATTACTTCTTTGTTAAAAGTTTCCACGCCCCTTTAACTAATGTTCAACTTTGTTCAATGACATTGTAACTTTGACAACATTTTATAATTAGATGCTACATTGTTTAAATTCAGAAAATAAATTAACGTAAAAAGAAAGCATACAACAATTATTATTCTATCAAAGGATTATAGGGAAAGACCTTTCAAAACTTATAAAATTAGCATATTAGTAAATCTACACATAAAGAGAAACATTAATAAAGATACTACAAAAAAATTAAATTATATTTTGTCCAATATATGAAACATACCTGGAATATAAAGTGAAAGGTTTCCGGCAATTACGTCTTTAATCCGTTTGTGGGCTTCTCAAGATATCGTTGCATGGTCGATTTTGTCTTCAAAGGTACGACTATGGAGACAAGTACGTATAAATATGTACCTCTTCACAACTCATCGAAAGACAACTAGATTGAATCTGGATGAATAAAATAACAATCCAATAATTGCTTGATATACCGGCATATATAAAAGACAGAATTCCAGGAATATGTTCACTGAACACCAAAACAATTAAAAGAATGCTGTCATGTGCTCCACACAATTCACACACACCGCCTTCCTTGTCATCCGCTAACAACGGACTGGGGTAATCAGCGTCGGTGTGTCTTACCGCGTGGTTCGTAGTTCGGCATATACCGTAACATTTTACAGCGTGATAAAAACTTGAACACAGGTACGCGCTTACATTGTAGATAAAGATACCTCCATGCTTTTGTTGACAAGGGTGTGCTCTGACGATTTAGAAACAAGAATAACTGTAATCAAGAATTTCACATTAAACGAATTACTCTAATGACAATATATTTTCATTTTAAATGCTAGAATAAATGGTGATCTCACACCTTTAAATGATTAAAAGTTGGGAACGTTCACATCTAAAATATATTGACAAGAGGTTTAGCGAGCTGAGCAAGGCAATTCTTTTTTTTTATTATTATTTGGGAACGTTTTAGACAAGAAGATTTTTCTTAGACAATTATATTATGGCGATTATTGAATATAGGATAGTGATAGCCCATGCTGTGTCCGGATAAATTGCTCACGGATATTTTCGTAGTGCTCACACGCCTATAAAATGTCATATCATTAATGTAAAATATTAGTTTGGATAATATCTTATCATGGTTGAGGCAATGATACAGAGTTATCCAGGTCCGGATTAAGATCTTAAGAGGACCCAGGCAATGAATTGAAAAGATTACCGTGCCCACATGTAATTCAAATTGAAAACGATACCAAACCTTAAAATAGAATATTTTTTTTTTATTTATCGAAATGAAGCAGAACTTACATGATTGTATGAGAAAATTAAAACAGTTTTTTCTTAATTTTCTGATCGCAAAATCAACGAAACTATTAAAATTTTAGGTGTATTTTACCATTATTATTTATTCAATGTAATACATTGTGGGGTCCCTGATTTTACCACGGCAATTCCGACACTAGGCAAATATCTACTGTGCCCCATTCCATTGGTGTCCTAATCTGCTTATTTGTGGAAATATGAATCATACCCACATGGCTGTATAAATCGTTTGCTGATAGTTTTCTGTCATGTTTTACTAAAAATATGAGAGTTTAAAAATCCCCCCCCCCCAAAAAAAAAAACCCAACACGAAAAACAAAAACAAACTAGAAACGATATTATCACACTGCTGATATAACACCGATGCCTTGGCGATACAATCCGATATTTGATACCCCGCATCTACCCGATGATTATATTCTTTTTTCAGTGGCTACCACGGCAGTAACCATCCGGCGGTTGCGTAATTTTGATAGTCAAGTAATAGTTATGATGTCAGATTTAGTAGTTGTTTACTTTCTATTAACAATACTTTAATTATGTCTGTGACCAGTCAACTTACCGGTAAATTTAAATATATTATACAATTCACGACCGTACAGTAAACCCCATAAAACTCAACCAAGCTGTGTGTTTAGACCTTTTATTGAAACAGACAGGACATCGTAAAATTGCAGGTTATATTCTAAATAAAATTTCATGATGACCGCTTATAGACCGGTAGTGGACAGTAATATTATGTAACCCACAGGGTCATAATGCAATGAGAAAGTCCTTTAATTTTATTGTCATCTGCCCCGCCTGAAATTATCCATTTATGTTAAGTAGTTTAATTGAAATGGAATTTCCAATAAAACGTTCTATTTCTTTAGGACGTGGAAGATTAGATAGCACATAAATCGCTCTTTATGATTTTGGAAATAAAAAGTTAAACCAATGGACCTTAAAAATATATATCATGATGACCAAGAAAGAATTTTTTTTAGCGTTTCGAAAGTGTTTCAGTTTTATTATCTGATGAAAACGATTCTTTAAAAATTGTAGATGATAAATATTTCAAGCAAAGCACCAGCCTTGTACATGGCAAATGGTGTGAGACGTACCATGGGAAGTAACCCGTGTCAAACCCTAGGAAATCAACAAACTGTGTGATGGAAGGGAAACAACTACATTTATCGCTCAACTTTCAGACAAGTCTGCTTCTCTAACACAGCATTTTAAAAATATTGTTCTTTAGAATAAGGATTGGATAAAATGGACTATAGACCCTACTAAATCATTCTTATTATTTTTTTTTATATAGAAATTGAATTAAATCACATGGTTGTCTTCTGTTACATCCTATTTGATTAGAGTCACGTGGATTCAGGTAGGTGGAAAAGTTTGCGTTGAGCCCCATCACCCGAACATACCAAGCAAATTTGTTTGACTTTATTTGTACAAGAAACTTCGATATTACCTAAAACTTACCCCACTTTCATAGATGTCATTTGATGGGCACTGAAGATGGTCTTATAATTGATTGGACAGTTAAATTATTTTCTGTAACAACGAAGTGTGTTTGCGGCATTGTCTTTAGACGTAGTTACCCCCCTTTAATTGTAACCGCATGCAGCAATTTTGATTATTTTCATGAAATGGATACATGTAGCTACCGTCTGCGCCGCATGGTTCATAAAAAAAGTTATTTTTGTTGTGCTTTAATTTAAACTGCATATGCGATCAGCATTTATGAAATATACATAAATATGTAAACATTTAAATGACCAGACCTGTTTGGTTTGTGTAAAAAATATATTATCGTTTTCATTGCATTGAATGTGCTGCGCTAATGACTAGTCTGTCTTTGCTGCAAATTTCACTTCAAAAGATAAAGCCAGTATTGAAATATTACCGATCTTAGGTAAGTCAAAATTTAGACTTTCGATACAAAATTGAGCTTGCCCCAACACTAATCTCAACAAAATATCTTTTTGAACTAAATCAAAAAGGCTCGACTGTGATCAGATTCGGGACAATCTAATTAAAACACAGATCCTATTTCGTTTCGTTTTTTTTTATAGTTCAAAAGATTTGTTATATAATCCGCGTTCTGGATAATGTGAGGGATTAGCGAATGAAACGGTCTGTACGGCGAGTTTTTGGCGTGAGGTGCACGGAACTGTGGGTAACCCACTATCAACGCTGATTGGTTAATCAAATGTCTGACGCCATAGGGTCAACAGCCGCTCGTATGACCCCTGATGCGACCTCCCACTACAACCGGTCAGATCTTTATGTAGAGGCTATCGAAAGTATTTTAATCAGATTGAGATTCGGGACATTCTTGAATCTTGACTGGCTTGGACAAGACTCTTGGCTGACTGGGACCATAGTACGGCTGATTTGGACCGTTATTTCAATGACAAGTGTATTTAAAATATGCCTGCATATATTTAACAAATCAGCAAATATGTACACACATTAGATTAAGCTGTATAAAAGAAACGAATAAAAAGAAAACATTCTAATTATATTGTAATGATCAAATTCAGCAAAATGCAATGTATAAATTATTATTAATCCAATAAACAAATCACATATTATAAAAGATAAATTATTTGATGGACGAAGCATGCCAAAGAGATTTGAGTAAATTTAATTCTTTTTGCCAAGTTTATTTTCGGAACAAAGTAATCCTAATACTTTGATTGTCTTTCTACAGGGGGTGGGGGGGGCGATGGATCAGTGAGTAAGACGTTGGCTCGTATGCACGTCTTCATTAGCCCATTAGGAGCAGAGCAGTAGGACGTTGAAACACCATTTAATTTGTTTTTCTACAGATCTGTATTTTTATATGCCCCGAGTGAAGAGAGATACATGCCATCAAAATCTATACAATAAACTAACGTTATTGCGTTTCAAAGAATCTACCAATCGGATTGCATCACATAGATGGCGTTGATGTTCGAAAATAGGCGAATTATGATGGTTATAATAAATGTATGTTTCAAATCTTAAGTTAATGCCTACTAAAGCCCACTGAAACTAATTTCTGATAGCTAGAGATACTGCCCTTGGCCACTTTCTCCAATTCTGTGAACAGCGACAAGAGCTACTTAAAATGTGCCCTTTTTTTATTACAGAGACGAATTTAGGCCCATCGAATTACATTATCGAGTTACAACTCCACCCCACTCTGTAGATTCTTTTAAACGTTTTAACGACAAAGGTTATCATCCGCGCTACTTGAAATTAAAAAATATTAGGCAATAGAGAAACCAATGAATTTCCACAATTTTCGGTAATTACTGCTTCAGACAGACACCCCTCCCTAATAATTGTTTCTTAAATGAATAAACCCATTTAAGCTCCCTCCACACCCTCCAAAATGGAGTTCGTTCTGTAACAATCTATGGAATAAACCTAAAAAATTGTGTTTAAGAATTCTTTTCTCTATTATTTTTTCGGCTTGAAGATTAGTTCCATAAAGCCAACGAATATGATCATTAAAAGCAGTGTGTAAAAATAGCAACGCGCTTTCACAAACCTACGCGGGCAGTAAAGAATGTTGATGTTGCCTGTTTGCCCGGGGCCACATCGTATTTTGATCTCGTCACAATGATATAACTAGAGGCCTAAAACCTAATCACGTCGATAACATGAATTATAACAAACACACAGCACCGTTTTATTGACTCGCTTTGATTAAGTATAATAATCCCTTCACAGTTACCGTTCTTGCCTCGAGCTGGTGGCTCTTTCTCCCTACTCATCGCACACCCCGTTCAGGCGATTAATTTCAAATAATTAGTAGAAATCGAAATTAAATGAACAATTCAATTGGATGTGATTGCTCTGCGTTACTTTATATTGATTTCCTAAAAATGTCACATAATTCTTCCGATAGCGAATATTCCTTTTTTACGACTGAAATAAACGCAACCACCTATAAATGATTTCTAGTGAATAGTAACGGCGGCATCTGCGAGAACAGGGGGGAGCCGTGTGTTTGTGCGGTTTTTATGACAACCAAGGGATGAGTCTGACTGTCGGTTTTACACCCCTGACCGACAAATCAGTCTAAAATATGAGATTGGGCGACGCAAAATAGGACATAAAAATTACAGCACCATGGTCATATGGGAATTAATTTCGGTCGATTCCATTTGATGATTTTCTTTAAAACAGATTTAGTGGTGTCATAACAATAAAACGCCAGATTAAAACCAGACGACATACAACTACTGTAATTTCTTTCCCTCATCAAAATACCCAGAATGAGACTATTTCATTCGGTATTCATCGTTATAAAGACCTCTTTATTGAAGAGGGCAATAGGTAAAGCCAGTCGGTATATGTCTTAAAAAGAAACGAAATAACATGGGTTTTACATCTTACTTTTCTACGACAACCAAACTAATGAAGACGAGCATATATTATGCAGTGTGCTATGAGGGGATTTTCCGGGACAGCGACGATTCCACTTACTCTTTATTGAATTCAAACTGTCAAGTGTTCTTTTATGTGTACAAAACTTCAGGTGTACAAGAAACCCCGGCCTTTCAACTATAGTCGATGTTCCTTTGTCAGCCCTTCCTTGCTGCACTTTCTCGGTCAAAACACGGATCGAACCGGGAACCGCCTGGTTAGCGAGACAACCTCTTGACCACTGAAATACCTCGGCTCCGTGCCGAAGAAGAATCCTGTACTGTATTTAAATTTCACAGTTGAACCGCTTCGCCAGAACTTATTTACTTTATGACGTATTATGTCAGCATCAAACTACCGCGACAAGGTTAAATCTGCTTTCAATTTTATTTTATGAGATGTTTAATAATTTTCGTTTACATTTATTTTCTGAGAGAGAGAGAGAGAGAGAGAGAGAGAGAGAGATGGGGTTTAACGTCCACTCAACACAAACTAGGTCATTTCGGGACTAACATACATGTATGGTTTAATTTTATTTCAATAATTCGTTTGCGCGTAGGGGTCTTTAGCAGAGGGAGGAAACCGGAGGACCCGGAGAAAAGCCACGAGGTTTGACAGGCGACCCTACTCCTTGTCACGTCATTTATTTTCTAGTACTACACACTTAATATAGGTTTGGGTTGGTGACAAACTGTTTCACAGCTGTAATGGCGAATATTTACTACTGATCAGTTTGGGTTGGTGGAGTTGTCAACCACGAGGATGCTTGTTCTTGCTCAATCTGGTACACATATATAGCAATACTTCGCTTTTTTATGACGTTTCCATAAAATTTAGGAAGTTGTACTTTGCCTTTTTTGTAATGGTGTCTGTACTTGAGAGGTAGTTTTCATAAGGGGTGGCGTAGGGCGACCAAGTAGAATTGTCTCGTTAAATCTTATTGTGTTTTATCAAATTATATTGTAGGGGCGTTAAATCAGTCAGCTAGCCTCTGTCGCCAATGGCTGTGAATCTGAAAGTGTCTCAATCCAAATATGTTATTTACTTCAGTAAACAACGCACACGCTTCCACACTTCTTTAATAGCTATAGCACGAAATATGCCACAATCCCTGTATAGTGACCATAGGCAATTTTCACGGAAAGTATAAATTATAGGGGAGCTTATAGCCGTACAAGACAAGCCTTTATGGTCATCCCTTCTTTCTTTGATGTGACTGGACCATTCATTCATTTCAACTTGTTTATAAATGATAAAAGTTAAAAAAAAGACAGTGAACAGCGTATCGTACCTGTCAGGGTTAAACCCCAGACTTATATACCTATATATAATATATCATATAGATATGTGATAAACACCTGTATTATATTTCTGTCCTTATGATATACCATGGTGTAGTCGTAGAGATTACCCAAACTTTCGGAAAGAAAGATAATTTCTTAGATAAGTGATATACATGTACATTTAACCTCGAATCTTAACCTCGCCCATATAAAAGATCTGCCAAAATCCAGAAACTACGCCAGAAATTATCAATTATGTGAATCTATATAGAATTAGAGTGGTATTTTATTATTACACATACTTTAATCATCACCAACCAACAATGATCGTAACTGGTAGTTGTTGGTCTGATTAAATGACCCCTCATCCCACTATTGGAATTTGCGGGGTAGGTGGCTGAATGGTTAACGCGTGCGCATTGGATCCGAATGTCTGTCATTGAGTCAAGGAGTGTAGGGTGTCCTGTCTAAACTCGTGGCTTTTCTCCGAGTACTCCGACCCCCCCCCCTCCAATGCTAATGACCCCTACGCTCAAGCCAATTACTGAAATAAAAATTGAACCATATGTGTTGAGTGGACGTTAAACCCAATTTCTCTCTCCCCATTGGATTAGCTGGATTATATTAGTTGGATTGTTGTTAATTAAACGCCCGCTCTACTCTGGTGCTGACAAACCTTATTTTTTTGTAAATCCAGAGCATGCACATGTTTCTTTCCTGTGAGAGGAAATGGGGGTACACGAAGTAAACCCGCGGGGTTGAGGAATCGCACAACACCACCACTAGGCATCTAGTAATGTATGTTCAGCCAATAAGACATACGGGTGTACATATGATAGTAAGTCAACCAAATTTTCATCTGTCCCAACTTGATTGGAAAGCTGATGCTAATTCTGCTAAATCAGACCAACCAGACCTAATCCAAAACCATACGCAGATATCCGAGAATGGACGAAACTATGCTGTATCGCTCTTTAGGTTTAATAATAATGTCCATGTAATAATTACTTTTATATGTGTTTGTTACAGAGCACCAAGAAGATGTCTCAGTTCAAAAATGAAAATTAAATGCCAAAATGTGACGAAATGACAGTGCTGCTCAATAAGATGGTGAAATAACAGAAATGGTGGCAAGGACCACTTCCTTGCTTTACGACTGTTGGTTCAGAGTGATCTGGGATGGGGGTTTTAGACTGTGAAATAAATAATCAAGGAAATACCAACCAAAGCGTGCACTAATTCACAATCTTAACTTGGTGGCATAAAAAATTAAAGCGAAAGAACAACAAAAAATTATCCCAGGCATAACATTATTTGTTATTTTTCTTTTAGCTGTGTATGGAAGGAAGCCATGGAAGTCGAACATCCTGGGTTAAAACTTGGTCCGAGAATAACCCAACGTGTTCTGTATTCGCCATAAACTAGGTTATTTTATTTAAATAATTCGCGTGCGCGTAGCGGCGTAGGGGTCTTTAGCAGTGGGAGGAAACCGGCAGACCTAGAGAAAACCCCCGAGATTGGACAGGCGACCCTACTCCTTGTCACGAGCAACCGGGGAATCGAAACCACGCCAGTTGACTCAATGACAAACCTTATGATACAACGCGCACGCGCTAACCATTCGGTCATTCAACCGCCGTATTCGCCTACGGGGCTGACAAGAAAAATGTTGCTTGGTCATTCGGATAGGACGAAACATCGAAGCCCACTCGTGTACACATAGACGTGCACATAAAATAACCTCTAACGGAGAGTCCCCTAGCAATACACACGTGGCCATAGAATAAATAACCGAATGTTAGTCTCAATATGACCAAATTATTGTGTAGACGAGATGTTACAACCTATTCATATCTTATTATATAAAGTACAGATAGATAATATAATCTTTAAGATAAACAGTTGACATTATCTATGAATTTGGTGTCTGAGGTTATAATTGATACAAACTTCATGCTGAGAAAATTGTTCAAGTTCCTCTCAAGGTTTTTCAAAATATCTCATTTCGTAGGTACAGTGACTCGGAATAAACCTGTCCATATACCCTTGAACGAATTGATAATTAAGATTAACATATGCGAATTTCTCACCATATAGGTGATTTTAACCAAGGGCATGCTTCTAAGCATGCTTCTTTTTTTTCTTTTTTTTTAAACCCCAGTACATTGCACTATTTGTGGAGTTGCTGAATTGTTATCTTCCCAAATGTTTATCTTCCCCAAGTAATATGGGATGGCTGCATAAAAGCATTGGGGCATCTTCGAAGCAAAAGGATACCAACATGCTGAAATTCACTTACGTTTCATGTTAGAAGCAACATAAATGACCCAAAGAAGTACTGGTTTATGCAAGCATGGAAATTGCCGAATTTCCGATCACTATCGATAGAGGAATTCTGCATGTTGTGATACTATTGAAATCAAACTTTGGTTTTTTATGAGAGTTTGTGATTACGCTATATTTTCCTATATTTTTGCCAATGCATAAGTTCCCTCATATAGGACACTGCATGGCGTATGTCCGGATTGAGCAGGGCGTTAAAACCCATTTACCCCATATTTACCAAACACCGTGTATACCTATATATAAACCTATAAAATACATTTAAGGAGCTGTCTTCAGGTATAAAATTAGTTAAACGTTAGGGTCCATCTATAATCTTTAAATGTGTATATACTACGGTATTAATTTTCCCTTTACCTGGTCGGCATTTCTTTGATCTCCCTCTCACCTGTTTCTATATGTGTGGTAAAGTGATATGAGATAGTCATAATTTGTCATCTTAGTCGACTAATAAACTAAGAAAAGAACAATATCTAAGGATATGTTATCCCTACTAGGTTTTTATTTACATTAAACACTCATAATACACTTAATGTACCGTATGTAAATATAAAAGCTATATATAATATATATTTAAAACTATATGTAGAATGTCATTTAGGTTTTAGGTGTAGGTATTATGAGCAATCGTATTCATCGCGAGTATTTACCTCTAATATATAGACAAGGGCCAAGATTTATTCTTCGACGTAAATGAAGTCGGGGTTAAGGTCTTGCCAACCGCTAATGAAGGTAATATACATACGCCATACAGTGTTCTAGTAACATTTTCCCCAGGAGAAAACCAGACTGGAAACATCGGGATCTAACCCGATGTAGCCTTTTCTTCATCGTAAAATGAAATGGGGTTTAACGTCCTACTGTTCTGCTCCGACTGGACTAATGAAGACGGCCATACGCCATACAGTCCGCTATGGGGGAAACTTTGCACGAACAGTGGCGCTACGGCTTATTCCTACATCGAATTCCAAGTGTCAAGGGATCTTTTACGTGCACGCCAATGTGTACACGGGACCTCGGTTTTTCGTTCCATGCGAACTACTAGACAGCTGTCATTGTCCGGGCCCTCCGTTCTGCACCACTGACAAGGAAAAACCACGCCGGAAAATCCCGATAAACTTTCTCGGCCCAAACTGGGATCGATCCCGTGATTTCCAGTCTAGCGAGGCAGCGTATTAATCAATTAGCCACCGTGAATCCCTTCTTCATCGTAAACATCCATCTTGTTTCAATTATTAGCATGAACAAATGTCCACACTAAATATTACAGTATAATTCTGTGCTTAGAGATCTAGCAAGAGAATGCATTCTCCCCGTCCGCCAGATTACTGTTGTTACGAATGCGACCTTTGAACTATTGCAATAAAATCATAGAAAATAAAACTATCTATAAATCCCATTTTGCAGTGGAAAGCTGGCCAAATCTAGTTTATCTTTGATACTTGTCCCGTGTGAATAATCTATTACTAAAGCATCTGAAAACAGAAGATTTTAAAAAGTTGAATCCACACATGATGCAACTCAACCTGTAACAGATGTTCGGATGCCGGAGTTTGTAATTGTGAAAGCTTTGATCATTGTACTCTAGATTAATCCCACGACTACGTCGATTCTCTTAAGTTCGTTTATTTGTCGCGATATATTGATAGATAAAAGATTTAATGTTTTTGGATGTAACTGCGAAGCGTGTTCATGGCCGTTTGAACAAGTATAATAAAAACTCACCAAAGCAATTATCTTGGGGAACTATGGCAAGGTGTTATCGTTTGTTCTGGAAATAGTAAACGCAATCCATCATCATCATTCCTGATAGAAACAATACACATTTTACATGAGAGCATATTGTTGTTACCCCTGTCCACCGATCTGTCTGTACACTATTCTTGTAAGCGCGTAAGTCAGAGTTTTTTTCAAACTTGCTAGGATTGTTCGGCTACATAGATCAAACAACGAATTATTGCCGGTGTCACCTTGTAAAACGTTCTACAGGTCAGATTTTTTCCTGATTTATTTTTCAAACTTGCTAGTTATAAGGAGTTACCCTAATTCAGAGTTATTGCTCTGGGTTAACAGTTACAACAACTTCATAAAACAAGTGCAGCTATAATATATTAAAGAAACATTGTCGGTGTGGAGGTCTTCGCTTATTAGTAAAAATGCGATTTAAAAAAATGCGATATGCCTAAACATTTAACCGATTGCAGCTGGAGTGTACCGATTAGATCGTATACAAAATATGGAGCAAATCTGTCAATCCATATATCAAATATACTTGGTTGTTTCTAACTTCCATTGCTATGGGGGGTTGGATGGCCGAATGGTTAGCACGTGCGTGCTGTATCATAAGGCCTGTCATTGAGTCAACTGGCGTTTTTTCGAAACCCCTGGTTGTACGTGACAAAAGTAGGGTCGTCTGTCCAACCTCGTGGGTTTTCTCCGGGCCCTCCGGTTTCCTCCCACTGCTAGAGACCCCTACGCGCAAGGGAATTATTGAAATAAAATTAAACCATATGTTAGTCCCGAAATGACCTGGTTTGTGTCGAGTGGACGTTAAACCCTCTCTCTCTCTCTCTCTCTCTCTCTCTCTCTCTCTCTCCCTCCATTGGTATGCACGAGGTTTGTCAGATTAACAGTTTTGTTGAATGAAATAAATATTTTTTATCTTGTCTAGAAAAAAAGGTCACAGAGTTTTGAAAACATAGAATAGTCCGCAGGATATATCAACACCTATAAATCATATTCATACATGTAATGTGACAAATAGAAAAGATTGATTGAAGATTTACAAACAGTACAGGTTATCAGTACATGGTTAAATCAACTAATTTTCAATCAATCAACTACAGAGTTACCACCCATATCTTATCATATCTATACCTCAACTCACATTCAATGTCATATTTTAAATGTTAAGAGAATATCTTTATTGTAAAAAATAATTAATATTTTTAAAACTGATATGACGCGAAGAAAACGTCAAAATGTTTAATTCTTCAGTACACATGATAAAATTAATGTACATGTAATATTAGGATGGGAATATGTTTTCTGTTAAGAGGTGACAATCATAAGAGTATTAAATGAGGATGCACAATGTGCCTTGAATTATGTTGTCGGCAGTTGGGTTACCACGGGTAGTGAAAGGACCAGTCAGAGTTATGTAACCCCCCCCCCCATACACACACATCCCACACACCCAGCCTTTCTAAAATGTTAGTTCCCGTAATTCAACAATAGTTAAAAGGGTGGGGGTGGGGTCTAACTTCCACTTCAGAGGTTATATTTTACTACAGCGATCTAAGTAGTTCAACTACGTGGCTTTTTTCATGTCGCGTTATTGATTCCGGGACAACACCGCCATATCAACTTCAGTCATCTGTACAATTTCAATCAATTTTTATCTACATAATATACTAAACAAATCGGACTGTCGCAAATGTATTTGTATGTGTAAACGTTTTTTGTCCTGTGTATTGAAGTGCGACATCTGCATCATTTAGTATAATCAAGAATATTGTATCTGGGACTCCATATACACATTATAAAGTTTAAAACTATTAAATGAATAATTCATTACTTATTACTGGCATGTTTCAAATATTTGCATCTTATTTAATCAAAATGAAGAAAATCACCATGGGTCACGAGTCTCAAGACAGCTTTAATGTTCAAATAGTACGGGTGCTCTCTCAAGTCATTAACTTCTTACGGCTATCAAATCTTTCCAGTTTTCTTTCATCTCAGAAATGCCAAAAGAAACGGGGAGCTAATCTGGAGCAGATTTGTTGTCTTATCCTTTCTTTCAGTATGTTTCCTCGGGACTGGGTGTTACATGGTTATAAAGTAGAGTATGATTGAAACAGGATTAGACTACACCTGTTGTTGTATCAACTTTCTCAACACATTTCAAATTACTTTACATAGCTGGCCATTTTCTGGTAC